GCGCCTGGCAACGTGCGACTGCGGGCGATGGCTCGCGGCTGCGTGTGGCTGGGCGGTGGGTGGCTTCCGGCGATCTTGGGCGGCGGCGGCGATTTCTAGCGGTGGTCGACAGTGGCGGAATGCAGCGGTAGGTGGCTGGATCTCGCGTGATCAAAAGGCTCGAAGAAATTGTACCTTAAAGCCTTCTAATGAATTACGTAAACACCTACTTCGATTTATCTTGGTGGTTTGATTAATCGAATCTCCCGAACTCTCGAATATGTATAGATCATGATTTTACTTGAAAACCTTAAAATTGAGTTCTATCACGCGTAGGGGAAGAGGTTGGGTCATGGTGTATTTATAGGCTCCATGAGGGACCTTAACGAGGTGCTAAATATAGGCTTATCCCATTAGGCTCAAAAGTCCTAATCATGCTCTATATCCTATCCCATCTAGAAGTTCTATTCATCCTAACCCTTATTACCTTCTAGAGGACTCCATAGTCTCCTAACCCTAGGTAATATTCTAGAAAGAATATTCATCTCCTAATGGAATTTAAAATATGAAATATAATTAATTCCTAATTTCCTAATTAGAATTAAATAATTTCACTAGAATAATATTATTGCTCTATCCATTTAGCTCCAATTTATTCAATAAATTCGAACCTCCAAATGATTAATAAATATTAATCTAATTTATCGATTTATCTTCCTATGATTAAGATATAATGTCCATCAATTAATTTAATTACTGACAATTAAATTAAATTGACTCTTTCATTTCCGAAATTAGTACCACTCATTTCATTAATCATTAGGTCGGAAAATTATTCACCTGCAGGGTTTTGGCATAATGTTCTTTCCTGAGCTCATTTCGGGGACGTCATCAACCCAGCGCATTGGGACATAATGACTGTAATTAACTTATAACAACACATCATATAAACACTCTTACTTACCAAAATACCGAGTATGTCATCCTAACAGAATAGGAATTACCTTTGGTAAATCAAATAAATAAGTAATGAATATTACGGGTGGGATTTTAAAACTGGGAACCGAAAAACCGAGCCGGACTGAACCGAATTAGCCAGTTCGGTTCGGTTTTTTGCTAAAAATTTGACATTTTTTCGGTTCGGTTCTTTAGTTTAGAAACGGGTTCCCGATTTTCGGTTATAAGCCAAAATGTTTAATATTAACCGAGAAACCGGTTTTAATGTCTTATATTATTAATTTATTATTATTTTTATATAGTGCACCAGTGCACCTGGGCCTGACCCATTCTTAATTCCTTATCCTTATTCCTTAACATTCCCAAAGCCCAAAATGAATAAATGTCCAAGCCCAACATCTTAATTCTTACATCTGAATATGAAAATATCTGATTTGATTTTTAATTATTTCAATTTCTAATCTCTTTCTCATTAACTCATTCAGCCATTCTCATCTAATCATTTTCTCTCTCTTCGAAGTTCTTGTTCTGCGACCTTCATGAAAAAACCCTAACTTGAATTCCCAATCCAAATTTTCACCATCCACAAATCTTCAATCTTGTTCGACTTTTCTTACTTCGTATGGTCTCTTCATCCGACAAAACCAGCGATTCTAAAAAATCAGACAAAAATCGAGATGAAAAAGAGGGCAAAATTCTAGGGCAAAATACAATACTGATGCCAAATTCAAAGACGAAGAAAAGGAGGGCACGCGGTGGGCAAACCGATACCAAAAAGAAATCATGGGTGTGGAAGCATTTTGCGGTGGTGCAGAAGCCACTGATGAGTAGAAACGAGGAGGGGATAATGGTCCAAGTTGGATTAACCAACCGAGCTCAATGCAGGTATTGTGAATCTGACTTGGCTTGTAATTCAACTAGAAATGGAACCAGTACACTCAAAAGCATTTAGAACTGCATTGTGATGGTTATCCGGGTAGTGCAAGAAAACTTTGTTCTGGTCAAAGAGATGTAGAAGGTAATGAATCGATTGTCACACACTGGACCCAAGAGAAAATTGCACTAAGGCAGCTGTTGAAATAATAATTATTGATGAATTGTCATTTAGTGCTATTGAGAAATCTGGGTTTAAAAGATTTTGTTCAGTTGTTGTGCCAAAATGGAAGATTTCTTGTAGAAAAATGGTGGTGAAACATTTATTGAGCATGTATAATACCAAAAGAGAGTGTTTGAAAGATGACCTTAGGAATCATTGTGTTAGTTTGACCACTGATACATGGACCTCGATTCAAAACATAAATTACATGGTCATTACAGCACATTTCATTGATAGCAATTGGCATATGCACAAGAGAGTGTTGAACTTCTGTGTGATTCCTAATCATCAAGGAATTACTATGGGGAAGATTTTAGAAAAATGTTTGCAGGATTGGTCTATCAAGAAGATTTTAACAATTTCTGTTGATAATGCATCTGCAAATAAAGTGGCAATAGATTACATAAGAAAGAAACTAGGGAATGATGAAAGACAATTGATTTTAGGGGGAAAGTTTCTTCATATGAGGTGCTTAGCTCATGTTGTCAATCTTATTGTCAAATCTGGACGCAAGTGCATGGATAAGTCAATTGCTTCAATTAGAAATGTTGTAAAATATGTTAGGAGCTCACCTGCATGGTTGGAAGCCTTTAAAGAATGTGTAAAAAAAAAGAACTTCAGAGTAGAAAGGTATGTGTTTTGGATGTGCCAACTAGGTGGAATTCCACCTTTATATGCTTGAAACTGCTGTTGAACTTAGGCAAGCATTTGATAGATTGGCTGAAGAAGAAGACACTAAGTATGAAAATTATTTTGATGAGGATGATGAGGAAAATGAGGAAGAAGGAGAAGATGTTCTAGGGATTGAGTTTGGGAATGAACCTGATGAACCTATAGGGGGCCAAGGGGCTGAAATTATTAAAAGAGAAAAAGATAAAGAAGTGAGAGGGAAGAAAGTGGGGCCTCCAACTGATGATGATTGGGAAAAAGCTGTTGCATTTGTGAAGTTTTTGAGAGTGTTTTTTGATGTCACTTTGAATGTGAGTGCTTCAAGCAAACCTACTGCTCACAAAGCATTCCATGATATTGTTTCAATTAAATGTGAGATTGAAGAGATTTTTGATGGTCTAATCACAAACCACAGCACAGATTATGAGAAGACATTGTTCAACATGTCATTCCAAATGAGTAGCAAGTACAACTTGTACTTTGATCACTAGATGATGTGAATCAGCTCCTGATTGTTGCTTTGGTGTTAGATCCTAGGTTCAAGCTAAGGTATTTCACTAGGGTTCTTGAGAGGATGCTGAATTATGATGCTTTTACTTGTAGTTATTCTTACTGGAGTATAATCGAAAGATTCGAACACCGGGTCGTGTCTCAAGGAAGGTCAGCCGGATTAATTTGTACGATTATTCAATCACTCGAAAAGATAAAACAAGTCCTAAACACTCTAATTTAAATGGATGGTTTTAATTATCAACTATGCGATTAACAACTAATGATACTCGAACAAGCAATTCCAATTTCACACTCCAAAACACAATTCAAAGAATGATAAGAAGGACTAGGGTGTTAGGGACAATCATTTCCGGTTCTCAATACATTAAACGACAATCGATCACTCGGCCAAAGAACACGAAAAACTCACTCATTCAGAGATTCATTCTCAATAATTCATATAACAAGAGAATAAACGTAAATGAACAATTATCGAATCAATTAGCACATAGACAATATGTCTCCGAACAATTCTATTCTAAACGAGCCTAGATCAATCGATTCCTCCCCTTTCGGTTCTAAGAATCGATTTAGTGGATTAAAATGGTGATCAATCAATTCAACCCTAGGTTCAACACAACTCGAATAGATTGAGTAATCAACATGCACTTAAACGAAATTGAACCGGAACAATTATCCCCTAGCCCTAGTTTATGAATTTAGCTACTCATTATCAATTCAACACAACAATTCATAATTAATCAAGCCATCAAATCCATACACAAAATGAAACGAAATGCTTACGATTAATAGTGAATCCAATGTCGAAAAGCAACGAACAATCCAAATCCTAAAGCTTAATCTTGGTGTTTTCACAATCCAAGATCAATTCCAAGTGAAAGATAAGAGAAAACTAGGTTCTGGAGTGAAAAAGTTGAAAATACAATGTTTCAGAATGATGAAAAACTACCCTAGGTTCGAAATTATAATCCTCCCTTTTGAAATATCGAGAAAAACGAAGCTGTTACAAAATGGGTCCTTAGCGCCGCTATGGTGCCTTAGTGCCGCTAAGGCACCTTAGTCGTTCGACGCTGAAGGTGCTAGAAATGAAAATGCTGCTAGCCAGGGTGCCTTAGCGGCGCTAAGGTCCTGGCAGCTCGAAAGATGGCCTTTTCTCGGCTCGTGTGCTCGTCTAACGTTGCTCGGGTACTGCCCGAGATGGAAACTCAACTTCTGCATGTTCAGTTGCGTGTACTGTGATGAAACACTCGAGAACCGGGACAACCTGAAACCACCACAAATGGAAAAAATGCGAGAAGAAAGAGAAAATAGGAGAAAAGAAGACGAAAACACGAAACACGACTAGATAATACTAGAAACACGCAAAATGACTACTTTTCTGTTTTTATTTCATAGTTCGTTAGTTCTTCCATCTTGTTTCTGATTTCATTTACTTTTGTTATTTTATATTGTAGCTCTTCAAAAAAGCTGACAGGGAAGAAAGCAAAAATGATGGAAGATTGGCAAAAAGACCTTGAAGATGTTGATGCTGTTGTAGTTGCTTATGAGGTAGACAGATACCTACTTGATCCAATTGAGAAGCCAGGTCCAGGAGTTGATTTTAATATTTTGTCATGGTGGAAGCTAATGGGAGGTAAGTATCCTAATTTGCAAGCACTTGCTAAAGATGTGCTAGCCATTCAAGTTAGTACTGTTGCTTCTGAGTCAAGTTTTAGCACTGGGAAAAGAATTATTGATCCTCATAGGAGTTCATTAACTCCTAGATCAGTGGAAGCACTGATTTGTCTTCAAAGTTGGCTTAAGTCTGATACAATCACAACTCTTGCATATACTCCTACCCCAGATAAAATTGAATGGCTTGAAAAAACTGAACAAGGTGAGTTATAATTCACATATGTAATTTGTGCAATCATTTGATTAGTGTCACTGATTTTCCCCCAATTTCTGTTTTGATTTTCTTTCTGTTTTGGCAGAATTGGACCAAGAGGAGAGAGATCATAGAGAGAAGTTGGAGAAACAGAAGGAAATGAAGTTGATTGAGAAGAAAAAAAAAGTTGCAAAAGCCTCCAAAGGCTCTGATGCTGGAACTTCTTCCAAAATGAAAATTTGAAATGTTATCTGGTATCTGCAATTTAACTTTTGAGTTTTGAATGTCAGCTTTGACTTTTGAGCTTTGATTTGGAAGTTTGAATTTGAAGTTTGAACATTGAACTATGTAACTGATATGTTATTAACTTATTATGGTTTGTTGTGGCTATTTGGAAGTTGGAACTGTGGAGTGTGGATTATGAATCTATGATTGTGATTGTGGACTGAACGTAGAGTGTGGATTATGGAATATGGATTGTGAACTTTGGCAGCTTGGCTTTGTAATTATTTATTTGTATGTTGGATTTGATGAATGATTTGTATTGTGGTTCATGAATCATGATGATAATTTGTACTAAAGCTTGTAAGTTGAATCATGTCATGGTGCTAAATTGCATTTTGTAATTTGTATTGATATATTATGATTTATGAGACAGTCGAGTGGTTCTTTATACAGTTATAAAGTTGTAAGTTGTTAACAGGTTCATAGGTTCATAACAGTTCAAGAGTAACCGGTTTCTACAACAATAACCGGTTTATACCCGGTCAATATCGGTTTTTTCATTATATTCGGTTAACCAAAGAATTGGAGGAACCGGACCGAAATTGGCCGGTTCGGTTCTTGATAAAAATTATGGAGTGACCGAACTGAAAATTTACATTTGTTTCGGTTCTCGGTTCTTCCAATTTTGGATGATAACCGAACCGGTCCCACCCCTAATGAATATATACTCATAAAGTAAGTAAACACATTGAAAAAAAAAAAACTTTGACTGTCGATTTCTAACAGTCAGATTTTTTTACCGTTGATCCAATCCGTTCGACCTGGGTCTCGAGCCGGCTCGACCCGATTCATATAAATAAAAAAATAAAAATAACAAAAAACTTAAAAAATGGCGGGCCAGGGTCGTGAATTCCATGACCCTGAATCGGACTGGTTAAAATTTGGTCTGAGCCCAAACTCGTGGTCAACGGGCTTGATCGGACCGAGCGGCCCATGGCCACCTTTATGTGTGGGCTTAGAATATACTCCCTCTGTTTTATTATAAATGTCGTTGTAGGATGTCAACTTTTTTGTAAATTAGTTGTCGTTGGAAATATTTTATTCATTCTTTCAACTTTATCCTCTTTAATAAACTTTATCTCTTCATTATCTTTAAAAACCAACCATTAATAATTCAAACACTAAATTTAAGAGGATTAATATATACGTTTATTACACAACTCATTAAAATCGTAATTTAGAAGTTTTAAATTAAAACAACATCTAAAAATAAGCAGAGGGAGTATATAATCAAGAACGTTAGTCGTACAAGCTATTTCCAAATTTTCAAGCAGCTTACTTCCAGGTTCCAACTTCCAAGTATCTCATTTTCAATCTTCTTTTCTTCTTGTTAATAACATCACAACTATCGGGCTGATAGTAAATAATTGAATTGTAAATTTACATATTACATTAACTCACAAAACAAATTATTACAGTCAACTACTCTATCCAACACACTTCTTCCGTTCACATCTTATGTTATATCTATATATGTAAAAGCAGGGTAGTCTCACCACATCGGCCAAAACGAGTAAAATCCCTCCTAAATGCAAGTTTCTATTCCTGGAAACTAAAATGCTTTCCATGAAAAATAATACCATAGTCTAGGAAAGAAGCACCAAAGGTGAAGTGCAATCCATTGTCCCAATCCATAGCAGGAGTCATAATTCACGGGCCTAAAGCTGTGTGAAATGGTAGGTGCCCTGTAACTATTTTCCACTCATTTGCTTATTCTCAATAAATATAGTAGGATGCACGAGTAAGAGTTATTCGTTAATATTTATAAACTAGTACAATATTTGTACTACATGAGGTCTTGTTAAAAAAATTATATTTAAAATTAAATAATAATAACACAAAATTTTTTTGTGTTATTTTAATTGTGGAGTTTTCTTCTTTGATTAACAACGAGGTTGGCTTGGGAGGCTTGAGAATCTCGAGAGGGTCCAGTGATATCTCACCTTCTATTTGCCAATGACTCCTTAATTTTGTGCAAGACTGATTCTAACCAAGCATACCAGTTGCTTGACATCTTGGACATGTACAAGTCTTTCACAAGCCAAAGAGTAAATATGGACGAATCCTCCAATTTTTTTTTTCCAGCAAGAACACTCCTGACCATATACAATCTCAATTTGCAGGGTTCTGGGTGGTATTCAAGCTCATCAATCAACTAGGTACATTGGACTTTCTCTGGGCATTGGTAAATCAAACACGAAAGCTTTCTCTTTTGTTCTGAATGTTGTGAGGGGCAGACATTTAAGCTGGAAGAATAAGTTTCTTTCATCAGCTGGGAAGGAAGTTCTCATTAGATCGATGATTAATGCTCTTTTTGTGTTTATTGTGTCATGTTTCAAATTACCAATTCGCGTCTGCAAGAATATCTTAAGTCTAACTGCTTCTTTATGGTGGTCTAAAGGGAAAAATCGAGGGAAAGACATCCGCTAGAAAGCTTGGAATCTGTTGGCTCAGCCTAAGGAGCTTCGGGGGTCCTGGGTTTCATGATATAAAGCTTTTCAATGAGACACTCATAATGAAACAATTGTCGAGACTGCTAAGTGAGTAAGGTTCTTAAGTGTAGATACTTCCCCTCATTTTTTTTGGATGATATTAGATTTAGTGAATACATTTCACTCATAAAAATAGTGTTCCAACTTAAAATTCAAATTTCGTATCACTGTATTAAAAAATAGAGAATGAGTGTCCAATACCTCATGTAATAAACTATAAATTCATATTAATAACACTTATTTATCATTAAACACGAGATAATATTTTTTAATATTATTGTCCAATATAACTATATAAGTATAAAAAATATATGTTAAAAACATTAATACCAATATAAATATAAATAATTGGTCTAAACCATAACTTTTCAATCTGGACTGGCCAACAGGTGGGCGCTTCGGACCGAATGACTTTAAGCCCGATCAAAACCCAACCAATCTAGAATGACCTTGGCATCCACCAGCGCGGCCAACCCTGTTTGACCCGATCATTTTTTTTTTGTTTTTTATAATATGTTTTTATTTTAAAAATAAAAATTATGTATAAATATTTTATATAATAAATATATATTATAATATAAATTATTATTAACACTTTGATGTATAAAATTTATATACAAAATATTTGTTTCTATTAAATTTTGGTATATTTATATGATAAAAATATTGTTTATATAATTTTTAAAGTTTAAAATTAATTGTCCAGTGCAGCAATTGACCCGATAACCACAGTTCAAACGGTGACCTGGAGGCTGGATTGAGTTTAAAAATTATGAAAAAACCAAATAATAAATAAAGAAATAAATATTGTATTATTTATTTGATATTTTTATGCATTGGAAGACGAATATACTAGCTTTTAAATAATAAGAAGAATCCATAAAATTCAAGCTTCTTCAACCCTAAAAAAACCCCCCAAACGCTCATGGTGGCAGCTCTTCATTCCGCCAAAACCGTTCCAACGGCCCAACCTAAAGGACTCTTCTCCTTCCTCTCCTCTGCTTCGATTCGTGCACGCATTTGCGTACACGCACACAACACAGTCTTTATACAGTGAGATGCTCTACGGCGATGCAGAAGCTACTGCGCAGAAGCTCCGCCGCCCCGCTTATCCCACCCCATAGTAGCCTCCTCTCTCTACCCCTCTCTTGTTCTACCTTTCTCTCTCTAGGCTCTTGGGGTGGCGGCCCTCCCAAAACTATCCAAAAAATGTTATCTTCCGCTCATTCACCGCTCCCCTCTCGCCCTCTGCACCGGCCCGCGAACCACTTATCGTCCGCCGCGAGTCAGACCTTCGGAGTCGCGAAAATGAGCCCCTCCGGTTGCTCGTTCGAGGGCGGCGGAATCAGTACGGCCCTGTCGAAGCCCTGGGTGGTTCTGAAACAGCAGAACAGATGGTTCACCACGGTTGCCGCAAATTCGAGCGAGGGCGGCGGGTCTCCGGTGGCGGATGGTGATGTGGAGAATGCGGAGAGCGTGGAGGAGAGGAAAGGGCCGAGGAGGCAGAGGAGTGGGGCCGGTGGGGGCGGCACTGTGGTGGGCCCGGATTTGCTGGCCATTCCAGGAGTTGGGCCGAGGAATTTGAGGAAGCTTGTGGAGAAAGGATACGAAGGCGTGGCTCAGCTCAAGAAGCTCTATAAGGACAGGGTATGACTAAACTGTTCTGCTGGGTTGTTCGGTTGTAATGTGTTTTGGTTATTTTTTTTGTTTTGTTTTTGGATTTACATTGTTTTGCTTGGTATTTTTTGAGCACTATGAACAGATGTTCTAGTTTTGTTATAAATTTTAATGGGCTTGATGATGATGAATATGTGATGTACAGGGATATTGAAGTGATTTTACTCTATTATCTTTAATTAGTTGTGTTATATTGAGTGTGATTACCTTGAGCTATTGACTATTGTTTCAGCTGCAGCTTGAGTAGAGTGTCGGAGATAGGGTCGACAAACACACAAAGCATGGATAATAAAGCTCGTGTTCACTTTTACTTGAATGGGTGTTTAAAGTTTGCCACTTCTTTTTTTACCTGCCGAATAACTTAATTTCTTGCCGCCTTCTGAAATTGCAGGCTTAAGAATGGTTTAAATTTACTGAACTTGTACATATAGCTCAGTTCTACCATAACAAACATATGGTCTTATGCTGCAGTTTTTTGGTAAATCCAGTCAGAAGATGGTAGAGTTCTTGCAAAGCTCGGTTGGGATCGTGCACAAGAACCACGCCGAGAGCATAACAATGTATATTAAGGAGAGTGTAGATGAGGAGCTGAAGGAAACTCCCACTCGAAAGAAGAGAATCACATTGTGCGTTGAAGGAAATATCAGTGTCGGGAAAAGCACGTTCTTGCAGAGAATAGCAAATGAAACCCTCGAGCTTAGAGACCTTGTGGAGATTGTTCCGGAACCAATCGACAAGTGGCAGAATGTGGGCCCCGACCGCTTAAACATATTAGATGCGTTTTATGCTGAGCCTGAGAGATATGCCTATACATTCCAGAACTACGTGTTCGTTACAAGGGTCATGCAGGAGAGAGAATCATCAGCTGGCATTAAGCCCCTCAGACTAATGGAAAGGAGTATATTCAGTGATAGGATGGTAAAACACTATGCCATTACACACCCAAAAATCACGTGTTTTGTAAAGTTTTTTCAATGATTATTAACTAACCTTTTATTGTGCTGTTTTCCTTCATTAAAGGTATTTGTAAGAGCTGTACATGAGGCAAAGTGGATGAATGAGATGGAAATTAGTATCTATGATTCATGGTTCGATCCCGTTGTTTCGAGTTTGCCTGGTCTTATTCCTGATGGGTTTATCTACCTGAGAGCAAGTCCCGACACATGCCACAAGCGTATGATGATGCGCAAGAGGACAGAAGAAGGTGGGGTCTCCCTGGATTATCTGCAAGGCTTGCATGAGAAGCATGAAAGTTGGCTTTTCCCATTCCAAAGTGGAAATCATGGAATCTTGTCCGTGAATAAACTACCCAAAGATGTGGATTGGTCATTGATTCCTAATATTAAAGACCGTGTGTTTTATTTGGATGGTGATCATATGCACCCAAGCATTCAGAAGGTATATACAAACACACATAGCATGTTTTTAACCCACGTTTCGAGCATGTTATTGTTTGCTAATAATTTTTACGTTAATTAATAGCTTTTCTTTCTTTTCGTGCTTATGAGCAGGTTCCTGCTTTGGTTCTTGACTGTGAACCTGACATTGATTTTAACAGGGATATAGAAGCCAAGCAGGAGTATGTTTAATTTTCATTATTCTCATTATTGCTCCGTTTGGATTATATTTTGTTTCACACATCTCAAAATGAATATTTAAATCTTATTCTTTCTTTCCTGAATGCGTGAAGGTATGCTCGGCAAATTGCAGAGTTCTTTGAGTTTGTGAAGAAGATGAAAGAAGCTTCCGATGCAAAAAGTGGAGACGAGGCAGAAAAGGGCAAGCAAAGTCCATTATTTCTACCACATCGTGGAAATCTATGGATGCCGGGTACTCAGCCGTTTTCAGATTCGGCCCTCAAGCCACTGGATTTCAGACAATCCATGTCGATCTTGTCTCCATAGTGCTAACGGACTACTTTCTGAAGGCTTCTCACCAGCTGGTTCAGATATGATGTGTTTACTTTCTAGCCATGTATAAAAAGCTTCGTTTTTCGCCCTTTCTCATGAAACTTGTAGAGTTGCTCTTTAGTGGTAGTTTGCTTCTTTTGGATATTTGACACAAACATCTGCAGTTTACTAGGATCACTTGGTTTTTCGAATTGGGCTTTTGATTGAGAGTTTTAGCCACTCGACTATCATCAAATTCTCGCTCGCGTTGCCTTTAATCTGGCTAATTCATGTATCTGTTTATCATATGCATCACATATCAAAAGTCCCACTGAAATCACACACATGATGACTTTGCACCAAATCTTTGATGGGAGGCGTAAATAGCCAGATAGTTATTTCATTAATTTTAAATTATCATATCACGCATGCTTGAGTTTTATCTTGTGACTCGAGTATGGCAGAAAGTGGTTCCCATACTATTTTCTTCCCGTATTATTGTTTTATATCCAATTTGATTTGCTAGTTAAGCAAGTACAATTGTGGTCCACATTTTTTTTTAAAAGAGGCTAGCCCGCAAAAGATGGCGAATTATTTGAACCCATAATCAAATATTGAATCCTAGGAAATCTGGCCCAACAACAAGTATAATGCTCGTTCGAGTTTCTTCGAGTTCATTTCTGTACTTTGGTTCAATAATTGACTAAAAGATTGGTTTCTGTTACAATTTGAAGCTCATTGTTATAGTTAATCATTTTAATCTTTTCGGAAAGTGCTGATCATCGAAATAGTTGGTAAAAAGATTGGAAAATTTAAATTGGAGTGAAATAGTACTGCATTTTTATTTATTTATTATTTTACAGTAATTGTGTGACTTACTTATATGTGCACATAGTTGGATAAAGTTTTGATCTTGATGACTCGATCAACTGGTTTTGTTCCTATGTGTGTTTGCAATATGATTACTTATTTGAGTTCACTATGCATAATAGCAGGTTTGTGAAGGCATTTAAATAGCAGGTTTGCAATATGCTTCCTGTTATAACTGAGAAGAGTATTGCCAAAAAATGTTTTCTTTACTGTACGCAGGCATATAACATAGCTAAGGGGATTAGTATGAAAGTACTCTAATATGTACAAAGATGTGCCTTTCTAAGTATGCCTTCACATTTCATCGAATTAGAGTACAATAATTTTTGGGTGAAATTAGATTCACTTTTGGCAACACCTGTTGAAAATGAGGTACTTCTTGAATAATTGAGAACATTCATGGGGCACCATTATGAGGTTACATCTTGAACTATTGAAAAACACACATTGAGCCTAGATTAGTATTTTAGGGAATGAGTGAAGTAAACTTTAGGGATTGAGCATAGATTAGTATTCTGATTAGCTATTGAGATCGTTGACATAGCCGAACTAGGATCGAATGATCATTTGGGGCCCACATAACACATGGCTACCAGCTTGAGATGTTGAAGTCAAGCAACTAAACATTTGTTTATGATAAAAGTTCCTAGCTTTGTTTAATCCTTTTTGCCTTGTTCAAATCACATGCTAGAAAATTTTGCCGACTTTCTAGGATCCTGCACGGAGAATCCGCTATAATCTAAATTGCATATATTACGCATACACAATTTGCATAGTTCGATTTCCGGCAGTGGTGTTATTTTGTCTTTATGAATCATGTGGCTGGTTGAAAAAGTTTGGTGCTTTGTAACAACTCATGATCTGCATGGACTGTACAGGCATTATTTTGGGAATTTGGTTGTAACAACTCTTGGTAAATTGGATGTACTGTGCCAAGATGCTCCTAGCTGTTGAAGGCTATTTTTGGAATAGTGGTATCTTTTTGGGTGGTTATGCCCAACAACATTTGGAGTTCCAAGTCTTGTGAACTTGTCCTTTTGTGCCACATCAAGGAGTGCTCGAGTCAAAGCTCGGCTCAAATTCGAGCACCTCGAAATTGAGCTTGTATGCAACACTAACTCGAGCTAAACTTAGTTTATTTAAAATTTGAGTCGAATTAAAGCGAAACTCAAACTGATGGAATTCGAGCTGATGTCGAGTCAATTTCGAGGATTGTATATTTGTGGACCCGAGCCTTAAAAAGTCGAGCTCGTGCTTAATCTCAAGCTACATTGAACGAGACCAATATTCAGCTGACTGGTTTGCAACTTTAGGTTTAACTTTTAAGGTATCAGCATTTATTTGGTTAATCCTTGTATCACGAGTACGGAGTATCCATATCCCATGATTTATGGCAGGATATTATATCTAATTAGAATCTGGTAACTGTTTCTTTCTCTTTTTTCTTTTTTCTTTTTCTTTTTTGTCCTTTCTTTTTCCTTTTTGGCTCAAACGCATGTAATCTCAATATCTTGGCAGCTGAAAAGTAAACGAAGGTGGATACAAAAAGGGAAGGTTAAAGTCTTAAAGACAAAAATCTGGTGCCAATTGGCCTAATGGGTTGTTTTAATTCAGATGGTTAGCTTTGGTTTATGGCATATATATAATTTCCTGTTCAAAGATGTGTATTTTAAATTTAAAATGTCATATAATGAAATGATTGTGTCACATTAGCTGGAAAATGTTTGGAAATTTAATATACAATATAATTATATATAAAAATTACAGATTTGGCCATCTCACCACGACATCCGCCAATCTCAACAGAGGCAACAAGTATTGCGACTGTCTTGTACATTATTTCGTACATGTAAAATATCTATTATGCTCTTACTTTAATTTAAAATATTATTTACCATAGTTTATGAAAAAGAAAAATATAGTGTTTAATTTCAAGCACATATAACTAAAAATAGGGACTACTAAATTAAAAGCTTACCTAAATTAAAGATCTGGCCATCTCGCTACCAACGACATCCGCCGACCACCAACTGCAGCCATTCGTTTTTCTCCTACCAATGGTAGATTTAAACAAGTTGTATATCACATTTTACCTCAAACTTTTCAAATCATAGTTAATTTTTTTATTTTTTTTTTTAAAAAATAAAGAATAGCACATTAAATTTTGTTGGAATGCAATCGAATATCTGTCTGTTGGATTTTTCGTAAAAATACATGTATGGAAAGCTCTTTTCATAAGAAATGTCCCGATCGTCGGTCTCCCTTTGAATCGTTGAAAAAATACTGGTGAAGTTTTCAGATATCCGGCAACGTGCATCGACAGACGAATACTTAGTTTCGGCGACTCACCTGTCCAAATATGACTGGTGAGCTCTCATTTTTTGCTTTCCTTGGATTACAATACCTGTTAATCAATTTGATGTTTTGAGTTCATATGAACCTTCAATTTAAAGTGCCATAAACAATTGTAGTTTTGAATTTTCTGCTAATTTCTGGTGACACCAAGTCATCAGACAACGATTTGATGGCCTCTGTTAGTTTTTAACGGAAAATTAACGATGTGAACCACAAATGATTAATCGATGTAGTGTTGGGTATAAAAAAAGATTAAGGTGAAAACTTCGGGTACCAAAAGTAGAAATAAGGTAAAGTTTAGGTACCATATAAGAATTTTTCTCAATAGCTTTTAAGTAAGGGTAATTTCGTTGTTAAATTGATGAAATATTTTTTAAACATTTATTTGAGGAAGTAAAAGAGCGCGTGTCATAATTCCATATATACATGCAGTGAGGTATATACGAATGGTACCTATCCGTAGAATGACCCAACTTACCATGCTTGATGGCTTTCAGTATGGCTATTGTAGTTAGGCCTAACGATTAGGTAATTACAATTTTTCAATCGATATGCATATATTTTGAAATGTCATGTAATAAAAATAACATAAATAGAAGTATGATATTTCGTAGTATCAGTCCTGTTCTGCTTCCCATATGCCCTCCAGCTGACACGACAAGACGATTATCATACATGGGTGAGTATGTGATTGAAAGATCACGAGATGTAAACACTTAATTTTCCTTCTTTTTCTTTTGTCGCTTAGATGAACAATTTTGTTCATAGTATAAATTTTTATTTTTATTAAAAAATTATGACTGATCGACTCATCTAATCCCGAATTGACTCGTTTAACCATTAGATAAATTGAAATAAGAATTTGTAGATGGTGTTAGGGCATGATATAGACAAAAGTAAAAATAAAATGACTTGTTCTGTAAATAGGAAATAAGAATTTGTAGACGGTGTTAGGGCATGAGATTGACAAAAGTAGAAATAAAATGACTTGGTTAGTTAATCTTTCCTTCATCATTGCCTGTTATATTTTTCTTTACTATTAATAATTTTTTTTTTTCCGCCGAAATCCGGATGCGGATACACTATTTGTGAATTTGATTAAAATAAAAGAGCTATGATTTGATTTTGAATCACATTGATTTAGTTTTTGACACTTTATGCTATCAGCAATCTCTTTCGTGGAAAGAAGCTGAAATTTTTGAACAAAGGAATGATTAAATTTATATACTTTTAGATCCTCTGAACATTATTTCCGACTTTACGATAGATATCATAAATATTCAGTCGCTAACAACCCATAATGTTGCAGATAACGTAAAGTAAATAATATTTTTCTTGTGATTAAGTCAAGATTTGCAGCGGTTTAAATTTTATAAAATTATATGATGTCAAAAGATTAAAAAAATAAATAAATAGAAGTCATATACAGAATGAATTTATATATCCAATGTCCACCAACAAACAAAGATCATAACTCAAGATTTTCAGTTTGAAATTCGAAATAAAATCCAAAACTTCACATTATTATAAGACATCCTAGGAGGTCTACATTTTCAAACTATGAATTTCCAGCCACATCGTGTCTTATTTTACGTTGAAATAGTTATATTGTTGCGCCTAGTATCTATCGCGTTTTATTGTGTTCGTGTCGTGATCATACTTTCAATTCCGACCACAAATAGGTCATTACATCACGGTTACGATTGATTTTGGGTACTTTGAGGCCCAGAAAAAATTAAAGACTAATAAAATGCGGATACCTTTTAATAATAAAAATAATTAAAAAGTGACAAAAAATAGAAATCCATCCAACATGAAATTAAGTTTCATCTATAGGTACAGAGTGAAGCAAGAATATTACAAAAAGGAAAAATCAAGAAAAAAAAAAAATCGAACANAAATATTTCCACCACTAAAAGCATTAAAAGAGGCCAACACCCCCAGATTCGTTTCAGCAACACCTAGACCCAGCTGGTGAACCGGGCTCTGCTGCTGCTGGTGCTGCTGCACCACCAACGACCCGAATTGGACCGGGCTGAACAGGCCCGGTCCACTTACTCTCTGCATTTGGGCCGCCCTATACAGCCACTCCTGCTGCATGGCCGGCAGCATCCGGGCCAGAGCCCACACGGGCTCTTGGGCCCGGGCCCGGACTACCCTACCAGGCTCGGGCGAACCCGCGTCGTCCTCCTCCTCCTCCTCGCGGTGGGCCCGCTTCCCGAGTAGGCCGGGCTCATCCGAGCCGGGCCCAAGTAGCGGTGGGCCGGGCCGGGCCCACATGGTGCCGGCGCCGCCTCGGAGGGAGGTGCTGAGGGTGGAGAAGTTGGCTGGGACGGTGCCGGAGCCGGTGGCGGCGATGATGGCCGGCTCCGCGTGGTGGAGGAGCCACTCGATGGTCTCGCCGTCCGACCGGTGGCCGAGCTCACGAGTGAGCTGGAAGACGCGGGCCGCGCAGAGGGCCGGCATGCGGATTCGCCGGCCTCGACCGTCGACCTTAGTGTGCCGGTCCTTGGACTGTTTCTTGGCGGGGTCGGGCTTGTTTGGTTGGCTGGATTGATTATTGTGGGGTTTTGGATCCATGGATGGGATAATAGTGTGTGTGGGGGGTGTTTCTGTGTTTTTAAGAACTTGAAAGCATTGCGGAGTGGGTTTGTAGTGAAAAATAAGGAATCTCTTCCCCCCACCCGTGGGGTCTTTTTATAAATAGTAAGGAGAAAAAGTAAAAGTACGGTGAATTTACTTCACACCTGATTGGATAATTGAGACTATTGGTTTATTATGGGCCGACGGTGAATTAGAGGTTTTGGTTCAGGTGAAAATCTTTTAGCAGTTTTAAATAATTTTTGGGTTTTTTTATTTTTATTTTTTAAAAATATTTTTTGGGTTCAGAAAGTTTTTTTTTTTTTTATATAAGAAAATTTTGGAAAATAGATGATTGCAATTTTAATTATTTTGCAAATCAAACAATTAATTATTTACTTCACCTATCAACTAGTTAAAACTATTAGCTTAATAGCTATTACTATTAGTCAATTTAATTAATTATTATAAGTTATTGGCTGAGTGCCAAAAACAGAACGTTGAGTATAGTCGCATGCACTATTTATCTATCAGTAAATTAGGTCGGCAAAGCTTGTTTCTTTCTAGTATTTGGGCTCCTTTTAACATATCCGAATAGGTCTTTTGATGATGAAGCCGTTGCCCTTCATCTGACGCCTTATTGATTGGGCTTATATACGTTTCATGGATTAGGCTTGGGCCAAAGTAGCCCGAACTATTTGGGCCTATTTACTGGAAAAGAAAAAAAAATTATTGAGCCTTACATTCTCCTTGGCTGCAAGCAAATCAACCCAGCCCAGTTGAACGGCCTTGTATAGTATTTTTGTTTTTTTTTTTTAAAATTTAGTTAATGTAACATACATAATGATTAACTACATAGTCCTAACTACATTACTTACCACAAAATGAGTAGTCTAATTTGACCATCTTACAGGCATATGCACATGAGGTTCCTACTTCATTAGGGTAACTTAGTACTCGTTTTACACGGTGCTTCACTAGATTATGCGTACGTGTCTAGTTAAAGTCGCACGCATATTCAAGACTTACATTAATACATCTCTAGAGCTACTTGGATAAAATTGAAACGAGACTCCAGAATGTAGCCTCGCCACAAGGAAGAGTGATCCTACTCGTATCGTGAAAATCGTGCTCCGCGGCAGCCCGATGGAGAAGTTGCTGAACAATTGATTCTTCAAGAAATGTAAGGGCACAACAAATCTCGTCATAGCTTTGCCGACATACACCACAAAATGGCCTCTTGGTGCAACTTTGCTCTTTTGGAGGACTTCTATTGATCTCTTGAGCTTGATTTTTAGTATAGTTTCAAGTTTTTTACTCTAATTTTCTTCGAGCATGCAATAGAGATTGAGTACTTAGATTTAACTTTCATTACTTTGTAATTGCTCCGTTTTTACTTATGAAGCTTTTCAAGGTAAAATTTGGTCCACTTGATTATTTCATTGCTGGGGTATGGCGAGCCTATACAAAGAGGAGAGTGCTTATTCAATCAGTTATGAGTTCTACCAATTTCGTCATGCTTTCGTGTTCCAATGGATGTCTTGCTTGAGAATTGGGTGAAATTTGAATCTTTTTGTTTTTCTTGCTTGTGTAGGTGAATTTAGGAGTTGAATTCGTGCTTACAAAAAAAGTGACTTTATGTAACTTCAATAAAGTATTACCTAATCTTAAAAATGTGTTACTATAGATCATAAGTAATATTTTCACGGGTGCTACTGTTGCCTTTGCTACCTATTATTTTATCTAACACTTTTTTAGTATTAAGCAACACTTATTATAAATGCTACATTAAATCATTTACTGTAGCACTAACTAGTATCATTTTCTGGATGTTACATATAACCTTTAAGTAACACATTTTATGCAATATGTATCAATTTCTTGTAACACTTTTTTAGTTATAGTAGCATTCAATTAATCAATTGTATCACTTTAATCAATCTAATGTAGCTTTTCATATCGTAACACCACTTAGTATCAACTAGTGCGTGGCTCGTGCGATGCACGTGACAACAATATTATGATTGAATTATAAATTAATATATAAATAACATTAATCATGATTTATCCATTGTTTTTAAATTAAACTGGGTTGGACACAGTCCGACCGGATGGACCGAGGACCGGTTTATAACCAGTCTAGTTCGCTTGAATAAAATATTTGCTCTCGAATCTGTCAACACCAGTCGGTTGGATTGGTAGGATGGATACGATTTTCTATATAAATTTTGTTATATTTAAAATTATTTTAAATAAAATTAAATATTTAAATAAAATAGAGATTTATAAATTATTTATCAATTAGTTTATACATTTGAATTTATAAATTGTTTAGATATCTAAGTAACACATTTTATTTAAATTTATTACAAAAAGTACTATATATATTAAAATGTTTATAAATTAAAATTTGAACAAACCACAAATGATTTAATAAAATAGCTTGATCGTTTCGATGACGGTCCAGTTTTGAAAACCTTATATTTGTTGTACATTAATAAATATTATAATAAAATATTATTTAATTCACATAAATTAATAAAATGATCTACAAATATTCATAAATCATTAAATATGTTGTCTCAAAAGTATTGTTAATACGGTTATTTGAAGTTTGGACTACATCAAATTCACGTATTAAAATATTTTCAATATAAAAATTTATATTTAGGTTCAATAATCGATTTGGTGTGTTCGAACTGATACATAACTTAGTCACCTGGGACCAACCAAGTTGTGTCAAGTTTTTTTTACTATTTTAAATATCACCTAAAAGTAATTCAATCAACCTGGGAAGTACCCTAATTCAATCACCCGATTGATCCGAAAAAAATTTCTTATTTTCTTTAAATATATTTAATTTTATGAAATAAAAATATTTTATGATTCATATAATAAATGTCTACGCCAAATGATAATGTATTAAGATTATAAATTATATATCTAAAGATTAATTAATTATTTTTATTTTATGCATATTAATAAAAAATAAACACAGTAATTTTAAAAAAATTAAGATTAATTGATTGTTTATGCAATTTAAAGAATATTTTTAGCATTCAATATTTTTTTAAAGGTACAAATATAAAAATCGAGATTCTAAAATTTTTGTTATATTTTGAATTGAGATTTTATAAATATATAGACCGAGATTTTAATGTTGTTCGTTGTTTCTAAGAAAAAAATAAAAATAAAAATATATACACTTAATAAATCTTAGCTGGATTTTTTAAATAATAAAATGAACTAAAGCCCGAAATTTAAGGTAGCATTTAATGTTGTATGATTTTTAAAGAAAAAAATACGGAAAATAATAAAACTTACTATTTATAGGCTGTATTAAATTTTGACCTATTTTTTTACTACTATTTTTGGTAAATGGTAATTCTTTTTATATATAGATAGATTTACATATGCTACATATAACTCTCATGTAACATTATACCAACAATATGTATTAAGTTCTTGTAACACTTTTTGATTTATGGTAACATTTTTATCATTCAATCATATCACTGTAATGATTAGAGGTACCTTTATTTCAAATGATTATGTAGTACATTATATCATCATATATATATATATATATATATATATATATATATATAATGTGGTTCAAATGAGAACCAAGTCCTAGTGTGAGAACCGTGAGAACCGCTATTTTTAATTGTATGTAGTGCTATGATTAATTGTGTTAAGTGCTATTTTTAACTAGGATGTATTTGATTAAAAATAGCAACAAAATTTTTATTAGCATTTATGAAAATGATAGCACCATGTAATATTAAAAATAGCATCATACACAATTAAAAATAGCATCAAATATGGTTCTCACGGTTCTCACACCAGACATAGTTTTTATTTGAACCAGCCCCTATATATATATATATATA